AACTCTTTGTATTCTACTCCTCTATATGACGATTGTCCTGCGAGGTCATGTAAGTTAGATGACGACGATGGAAAGTGTACCATTCTCGAAAGAGATCAAGGAAGTTTCAATTTTGAATAATTTTATTCGTCTCATCATAGAGAAGTCTAGTGGAAAGGCGATCCGATGTACCACCTATTCGAGTACATGACCCAAATAAGGTTAAAGAAGGTAAGCCCTGCACTCAAATATCAAGGTTTGCACATGATATAGCAAGTTAGTGTTAGGATTGATCAGAAGCTGGTTGCAATTAAAGCAGGCATTCCAAGGGGCAGGGGCCTTCGGTAGAAGTAGGTCGGGGAAGGCACCAGCCATGAGGCTAAACGATACGAGGCAAGAGAAAGAAAATCCCTCAAAAGCTAATTTGCAAGTTTTATTGCCGAACTCATAGCTTGAGAAACCATATCAGATTAGAAGGCCAGATATGCTTTATAAAACAGATTGCTAACGAAGACTTCTCTTTGAAGGGATGATCGTAACAAAAACTGAAACCACTTACTACCAATTGCTAAATCTGATATGAAATGAGATCCAACCAAAAGACACGATTGAAAATAGAAAGAAGATAGAGCAAGGCTACATTGAAAAAAAATTAGGATAAAGGTAAAACCATGAGTATGCACCTAAGTCTCCAAAATAACATCATCTTCGATTTGACGAACATAAAAGGGTGCATACAATTTGTCCAGCTCCTTCACAAATTATTGGCAAAGTTGCAAAGCCAGCAAGGAGAGACGTGTGAAGTTCCTGAGAATCGAAAACCTCCTTATCTAGGTACCAAAGGGCTAGGTCGAGGAGCGAGGCCAAGATATACGGGACAATTAAATGTACTAACCAATGTCCTAACTCAACCATGATAAGAAAGATAAGTGCCATAATTGGAGGTCCATATGTCAGTGGAAAGACAATGAACTCACATAAAAGTATGCTCGAGCTGCTAAGAACCTACACTGGAGAACTTCTTGATTCGAGGTAACCCTAAAACCACATCTCTTCTAATTATATTTAATGATGATGATGAATAAGGAATTATATATCCCATTATCACAAACTAGTAGTATGGGCAGTCATAGCTTGCAATAGCCTCAATCATATTGTAGTCGTCAATGATAGTTCTGTGAATATTCAATCAGGAAGTGCATTCCACCAAGTCCTTGTCGACCATCCTTCAATGCCTATGGCTGAGCCCTTGTATGGTTATACTAGTGACAGTTTAATCCTACGAGGATAAGTCACTTTTACAATTGAATTGGGCAAGGAACCAACAATGTTTCGTGAATATGTGGACGTTCTTATAATAGATAGATAGCAGATCTGTTTAAAATGGAATCGTGAGAAGGCCCATCCTAAAGTAGTTAAAAATGGTAACATATATTCACCATCTTTGGATGAAATTTCAAACTCCAAAATAAGTGGCCAGAGTGTTACCTTAGCGCACAGAGAAAATCAACCCCAAGAACTCCGATAATCAATACCACAGTGATGGTAGAAAACAAGAACGACAAGATTGAGATCCTCAGTTAGGAAAGCTCAAATTTGAGGTTGTGAAACTGGAAAAGTTATAGAGAGGGAAAAAAAAAAACAAAAAACCTACTCCTACCAATAAGGATGATACTGCATATAAAAGGGAAAGTATGGATATCAAAACTCTTACAATGAGCCAAGACCAGAAAAAGGAACGCATTGACAATATTTATAAAAAGCATATGAAAGGGGTTGAAGGCAAGTTTCTTTCTGCCTATGATAAATTTTCAATTGAAGGCAAGTTTCTTTCCACCTATGATAAAGTTTTAATTGAATGCTAGTTTCATTCCTCGCATTCTCAATATCTTTCGAGGTAACAAATTGCCCATCTTTTACCAACTGAAGCCATTTCATTCCTTGCATTCTCAAGATCTTTCGAGGTAAAAAACTGCTCATCTTTTACCAACTGAAGCTCCTCTCTAAGTCTTAAAATCTCACGATCAGTCATTTTGGCATAAGCCTCATGGTTTTCCTTGGCCCACTCCAAGTCCTTAGAAAACTTCATAACATCGGCCAACATTGTAGCCTCCTTGATAGCATAAACTTTAGCACCTTCGCTCAACTCCTTGTATTTGGCGCTCTCTTTCTTAGCTTCCTCTAAAGAGAACCAAATCTTTTCTCCAAAGATTTGAACTTTATTATCCAAATTGTCAGCTCGCAAAATGCAAACCTCATATTCTACTTGTTGATCATAACGTAACTTCCACCACTCGAGCAACTTTTGGGGTACATTTCGACTGGTCACACCCTCGGCCCTCACAAAGGCACACTTTTTAACCCCTTTGATCTTTCGAGAGGCAGCTGCTTAGGAGGGGAAGTGATGGAAGTTTTTGGCATTTGAAGCTTGTAGAAGGGTTTGCACTAAAATTAATCCACACTGCAAAAGAATAATTGTAATTACCCAAAAGCAAAATTAGAAATCAGAAGACGAAAAAGTCTTTAGCGCATAAACTCACCCAAGGTAGTCTTTATCCCAACGTTATAAAAATTCGAATTAGAAGGATGAAGCAATCTCTCTTTTTCATGAGCCTCAGAAACGTTGCCAACAATAGGTGCCACTAAAGTGCAAAGATCAATAAAAGCCCAATCATAAAGTGGACCTTACTATTTACCTATTTACATATATCAAACTAAAGCAAAGAATAAATGAACCAATACTCACTAGATTGCCATAATACTGAGGCATAGCAATCGAGAAGTTATGATCATTAGGTTGAAGCCCTTAGTTCCCTCGACAAAGAAAATAAAATTCTTTTCAATTATGCACCTTTTTAGGAGTAATTACAAATTTCAGGTACGATTTAGGAAAACAAGGAGAAAATTAATAATACACTTTTTGTGGGTTCGCCTTATCATCCGATTTTACGGGATGATAAATAAATTGAAAAACATCCGAAGATAACTGTCCCTCTAAACCCGCGAAACTCCAAAAACATAACCCATCCATATGAGCTCACTCATTAGGAGTAAGTTGGGTCAAACAATATTAAAAGAAGAACGAATCTCACAAAAGAAATGATAGCATAGAACTTTTAAGTCCCATTTTCGATTTGTAAATAAATAGCTACATAATCAGTGGGAGGACAGTCCGCACTTTGGAATTGCACAGGACATACTAAGTCAATATCCAGAACATTAAACCTATATTGAATCTCATCTACGTCCTTCTCAGTAAAATTGGTAAATATTTTCGAGGCTTCAAACACAGTACCATCACCTTCACTAAGGCTACCAAGTTCACTCAAAAGCTTATGTACTTCGTCCATATGTTGAGAGCCACCTCCTTGCCTAATAAATTCTGGATTAACGCGAGAACCGAAATGGGTAACTGTAGAATGGGGTAATACCAGCTATACAACACTTCTACAAAAGAAGAAGCACCTGATATATCATCCCTTAGTCTAGAAATTTCAATCTCAAAATTATATAACATATTTTGGGAATCACTTTGAGAGAAATGCAAATAAAATCTCAAATCTTCATTAAAACGTAGATACAAAAGCAAGATGAAAATGGCGGTACATGTACCTAAGGAAGATATTTGGAATATTAATGAAAAAGAGCAGGAGACGAAATTGGCCAAAAAAACACCTTAAAGAGTACGAAGCACAGCAATCAAAGGCGAAAGAGTAGAAGAAAGGATAGTAGTTACAAGAAGAATGACATATCCATAGATCTAACAAGAGATACAAGTCATTGAATTGTGTCAGTAATAATCTTAATCATTTAAAAAGCAATTGGACAATCTTAGCTGTCGAATACTAAGTACACAAAATTTCAAAATGAACTGATGAGGTCACGCATAATTGACAAATACATTAAATGTGCATAGGCCATTAACATAGAAATGCGCAAACAGACCTATAAATGCACGCAAAAGACTACAATGATAACACGTCCTCTAAGCATAGTAACGTCAACCACAACAAATAAAGAAGAATATGCTTGAATAATTTCTTAACTGTAAGTTTGCAGCTTAAAAATAAATAGTTAAGCTCGAATCTCGAGGACTAATGTGTCAACCAAAAAAACAAAAAATAAAAATAAAAATTAAAGAAGTTATAGATTTAAACTATGATAGTTAAATTCAGGTTTCAAGGACTATTTATTGAATAAATAAATACAAAGGAATAAGCACGCGAGCTCATGACCCACGAACCTAAGAACATGCGAGGCTAGAAAGAAAGCATAAGAGCTCACAAGCAAAAAGGGCGAACTGTTTCAATTATAGTGAGCATCAAAGTGAGCATCAAGTACAGTGAGATTAACAGTTTTCTTTTCTTTTATCTTTATTTTGTTTTATTTCTTTTAATTTTTTATGGGGATAAATAGCAAAGTTACCACTTTGTCCTCGTCAAATTTGGTCAAAATCCACTTCTCCAATCATCTAACTGTTAAATGGATGGAATATGTCCTTGTGTTGCAACAAAATGAACAATTTGGGATTGTGGATAACATAAAGTGAAGATTGACGTAAAGTGCGTGGAAAAGTGAGTAAGGTTTGGGACCATTGCTGCAATTATCCCTTAATTATATATAGAACCCTGGATTATGTTCATGTTGAGCCTTTATTCCCTGCACTGTTAAAACTTAACAGAACAATGCAAAATATTGATACATTCACATGTAGAAGAAAACTTCCTCACCATTTCAAGAAAGCAAAGCCATAAGGTCAACTGACACAAGTGCCTAAGAGCATGCTTCAAGCACAATAGTGGACAAAATAGAACAGTATAATTAACAAAATTTTAACTTATATTTCTTTTCTAATATGATCCAAGACTATCCAATCCTCTCCCTAAGTGATCATGGAAACAGTGAGGAGATATGAATCAATTGGCAGTAAGGAGAGACCTATTTAAACCTAATTGAACAACTTTTTTAAACAAAACACAATTTACACGTGTGATTCTGAAAATGTACACTTTCGTCAACTATAAGGAGAGAGAGTCCTGATCATAAACAGAACCTCGTCGTGATCTTCATGTTGAGCTCATACAAGATTAGCGACCAGAAAACCTTAAATCTTCTGTTAAATACTCAATATCAAAATGTAAGGACACACAAATGAAGAACTTGAAAGTACAGTCTGTGTTAAGTCTAGATGGAACGCGTGACTTCTTACCTTTCATCCTGTGTATAAATGCACCAATAGAATTTCACATCACAAGAACGAAGTCAGGAAAATCAGTACTTCCCCATTTTCACTGTTCCCAATCAACAATTAGGGTGGAAAAAATCTTTATTGACCAAAAAATCTATGTCCACGGTAGCTTGGCTCACATTAAACATTAGGTGGAATTATTAGGCTCTCCCCAGTTCACTTGGGAATAAACCTTCTATATATCATTTCTGCTATCAAACTGATGATCCTGAAAACTTCAAGGCTTTCCTCCACCCTAAATGCTATAGATCTCAAGTGGCAATTCTCTTGAATATCTTCTCAAGCTAATTTAACTCATTCTATTTTTCCACCAAGAAATGACTGCAAATAAAAAGGAAAACGAAAATATAATTTTCAAGCATGTTTGGAATTGTTAATAATCAGTTTAAATTGTAAATTGACGGAAATGAATTGTTGATAAGTGAATAGTACTTGTCGGTACCACAAAATGTGTGGATAAGAAGCGGCTAGATCAATTATAAGCAGGAGCCAAACAGGACTTAATATTCTATCCCGAACAAGTATAGCGGTCTTTCTTTAAATATCAATTATACACAATGACGGAAATATTATTTGAGGAAGGAGATCTAAACCTCAAAAGCTGATCATGTCAAAAGACACTGAAAACTATTAAGAAACATCGTCAACATTAATGGTAATGACTTGAATCCATGAATCTTGAATGTAAAATAAAACACAAGTGAAATGTACAGTAAAACTCCAGTATCAATCCTTACAGCTTTCTTACGCAACATATAATTAAAGAAATCCAATGTGCATGTAACGCCCCGAACTCTTTTTGATTATTATTGTTATTTTTAAATAAAAATGAGCTCAAGGTGCTACCAAAACTTTTCTCTATCTAATTTAAGCAGAAATATATCGAAAATATTCGATTTCAAATTATTAAACAACATAATAGATATCGTGCATAAATATTAACACAAAGATATTCTTTATATAAATTGACGATTGTCTTTTCTAGAATTTTTACTTGACGACCACATTAGTATCGCTCCGTCAATCTTCCACGCGTCCTCACGACCCTTTCTTATCTGAAAATATTGTAAGAGTGAGTATTTTGAACACTCAATAAAAATACGTGCACATCCTTTTTCACATGATATAAATATAAAAATAGCATAACATACCAACATTTCTTAGGAATTTCTCAAGAATCTCCATATCCCGTAGGATTTAATTTCTTTTTTTACCTGACGGTCTATCCCGAAGGATTTAACTTCTTCTCTTTGACCAAACGGTCTATCCCGAAGGATTTAACATAGTATTCGACCCGAAGGCCTTAAAGCATCTCATGCCAAAATTTACATATATATCAAGGAATAAGAATTTACCACTTGCACCAAGTATTCTTACCCCAATTTGATATCCAAAAATTTACTTGAAACTGACTTTGTGAAAAGATATAAATATTATACTCTATTAAATTCTAAAAATATTAGTGGTGTGGAGTGTACAATATACTATTGTTGTAGAATATAATTTTCATCTCAAATACACCTATTTATATATTCCACACACGTAACTTACGTAACATCAAAAGGCATTTCACGTTAATGGAAGAATAATGGAATTAAACCACCATAAGTGGACGTTTATTATTACGGTTACAAATTGAAAAGCCACCTGATCATTAATTGAGGATTAATGTAATTAAACAACTAGGATTTAATTGAAAATCAATTAAAGCGAACGTGATGGTTACGGTTATAAATTTGAAAGGACACCTCCACGTTTAATTAGATTTAATGTCATGGTTATGGAATGTATTATAAATTTCTAAATCAATTAAAGTGGATGACATTACGTAACCATACAATGAAACTATTCATTTGGTTATTATTTTATATTATATATGTATTAATATAATATTTGAGAATGATAATTTTCTTTCTATTAGAATAACTCGCTTTAATTGATTTTCAATTAAATTCAAGTTGTTTAATTACATTAATCCTCAATTAATGATCAGGTGGCTTTTCAATTTGTAACCGTAATCATAAACGTCCACTTATGGTGGTTTAACTCCATTATTCTTCCATTAACGTGAAATGTCTTTTGATGTTACGTAAGTTACGTGTGTGGAATATATAAATAGGTGTATTTTAAATGAAAATTATATTCTACAACAATAGTATATTGTACACTCCACACCACTAATATTTTTAGAATTTAATAGAGTATAATATTTATATCTTTTCACAAAGTCAGTTTCAAGTAAATTCTTGGATATCAAATTGGGGTAAGAATACTTGGTGCAAGTGGTAAATTCTTATTCCTTAATATATATGTAAATTTTGGCATGAGATGCTTTAAGGCCTTCGGGTCGAATGCTATGTTAAATCCTTCGGGATAGACCGTTAGGTTAAAGAGAAGAAGTTAAATCTTTCGGGATAGACCGTCAGGTAAAAAAAAAAGAAATTAAATCCTACAGGATATGGGGATTCTTAAGAAATTCCTAAGAAATGTTGGTATGTTATGCTATTTTTATATTTAGATCATGTGAAAAAGGATGTGCACGTATTCTTACTGAGTGTTTTCAAAATACTCACTCTTACAATATTTTCAGATAAGAACGGGTCGTGAGGACGCGTGGAAGATTGACGGAGCGATGCTAATGTGGTCTTCAAGTAAAATTTCTAGAAAAGACAATCGTCAATTTATATAAAGAATATCTTTGTGTTAATATTTATGCACGATATTTATTATGTTGTTTAATAATTTGAAATCGAATATTTTCGATATATTTCCGCTTAAATTAGATAGAGAAAAGTTTTGATAGTACCTTGAGCTCATTTTTATTTAAAAATAACAATAATAATGAAAAAGAGTTCGGGGCGTTACAGCGTGGTATCAGAGCAAGGTTTGGCCAGTTCTGTAGACCATGTATGTTTTTTTTAAAAAACAAAAAGAAAATTAAAAGTTTAATGTATCACATGGCATCGTGCATCCATCCATCAATCTCATCCTATGGCCTAGGTATGTTCATATTTAAAGTTAATGATTATGTCTATGTTATGATACTTCGATTTATTAATATAATATTTGAGAATGATAATTTTCTTTCTATTAGAATAACTCAGGCATAACTAGCTCGAAATTACTTTTTCTTAAGCTCAAATTATATTGTTTAACACGAACTACAAAACGAGTATAATATCAGTATTTTTTCATCAACTTTAAAAATACTTAAATATTCTATTCAAATAATTTTCTAAAAGTGCTCGTAACTCGTAAGCAAATAAATTATTTATACGAATACGCGAGTCGAGTCTACCACTTCAACTTTGGACTTTTAATATAATGACAAATCTTCACATTTTCATTTGCTAAATAATAAGTTCAGGTTCACATAGTAAAAAAATACGGGGTGTTACAGTGCAAATATTGAATTTAGTGATAAATCGTTTGTCAAAGCATACATTCCAAAATGCTTTTTGTTCGCATAACCTCGATTCTTGGGCTATATGCTTACTTCATTTGCATATATCTTCTCAAACATTCTTCATGCATGTTCAATTATATGGACATTATAGATATATCTCTAGACACAGAATAAATTTACCTTTGTTTTTGTTTGAGGAGTTCCTCGTTTAGCTGTAGCAGTGCTCCCAAATCCAAATTTTGGCTTCTTTTCTGCAGGCTTCAGTATTTGAAATGAGCACATTAAAGTTTCATCCACACTCATCATGGCACCGGCATTGTCAAATTCTCCACAGTAATTGGGGGCTGAGAATATTGTGACAAGCTGTCTATCAGCAAAAAACTCATAACCATCTTCAACAACCTGTACTAAATTAAGCGGCTAAATTAGTCACAAAGATTGTATATTAGTGTAGAATAGTATGAAAAATCAACATTTAAACCTGATGGGCACGGCATATAAGATCAAGATCATGCTTTTGAAGGAATTCGGTTACCGTATCAGGACCGAATGTATAGGAAACTCCCCTATCACTCATTCCCCACCCTTTGACATCTTTACTGGGATCTGACCAAAGTAGATCACAAAGTAAACCAGTTTCTGGAACATCAATTGGACGTTGCATATTTCTAATTTGATTCAGATCATGCAGATCAGGAGAGAGTCCACCATGCATGCACAATATCTTTTCATCTATAACAGCTGCCACAGGTAGGCAATTAAAACAATCTGTGAATGTTTTCCATAGCTTCACATTAAATCTTCGTTTGCACTCATCATAAAATCCATATATACGATTTACTGATGCACATTCATGGTTTCCCCTCAAAAGGAAGAAATTTTCAGGATACTTTATCTTATAGGCAAGTAGAAGACAGATTGTTTCCAGATTTTGCTTCCCGCGGTCCACATAATCCCCCAAGAATAAGTAATTAGATTTGGGGGGTAATCCACCATATTCAAAGAGTCTAAGAAGATCAGAATATTGACCATGAATGTCTCCTGCAAAATATTTAATTTAAAAGTCAAATTAGATTGAAATTCAAATTGTTTGATAAGAAGTACAAATATTAGTTCAATGAACATGAGCAGATGTAGATCAATTAAAGCCACAACAGATGTTTGTCCCATTTGGAAGCTTTTAACTAAAAGTTAAATATATAACAACCAGCAAAACCTTATTCCATACAAACTAAAATGTAAAAACACCAATACAGAATATGAAGGAATACCATTTGAGAAACTGTGAAAAGTCAAAACAAATTCAGTTTTGGGCCAATGGAGTGTAATAAATGATAATCACATTATGATGAGCCAATCTGGCAATGACATCATACATATTGGGAATTCCCTGCATAGTAAACCATGTGAACCATATTAATTTGTGCACATAGAGTACAGTTTAATTCACAAACACAAGCATTTAAGTTCCATTTTTCCATTGGCAAAAGAACCTTGTAAAAATATATCAAGCGGCATCTAGCTTTGTTTTCAAAGAAAAGAAGCTAATTTAAATGGGTCTTATAACTAGTCTTTCATGAACTCTGCCCGTGACAAGCATCAAGAAACTAAAAAGCTTTTCTTACAATCCAAAGAAAGTAGAATATGTAGCATCAATAAATCTTTTCAACAAAATTTCTTCACATTGGCTTCAAGAAAATTGAAAATACTCAAAGATTGATTAAAGCAATAAACTGATTCCTGAAGAGTCCATCAACATTTCTTTTGGTCATCATTACCAGATGAGACCAGACCAACCATCAATACATTCCCTCGCCTTTTGCCATTTATGAAAATTCTGGTTCATGTTAACTACTTCTATTGTCTATTTCCCCGGACAACTTCTCAAAATGGGTTTTTGCCCACTTTATCTACATTGTGAATATATATTTATTGAGAGAAGAGAATGGCTTTAGAACTTGAATTTGATTTCATTCTTCACCAGATCCTCAAACCTAACATTTTCAAAGCACCCTTATCGTAGTTTCAGTTTGCCTATGAAGATGTTGAGTTCTCTTTAACACCTATCTTTAAATCAATTCTGATCATCACTACTAAAAATGGAACTCATTCATTAAAGTTTCTTTTAAAGGATTATGTATGTATGTATGTATGTATGTATGTGTGTATATATGTGTATATATATATATGTATGTATATGTATATATATATGTATATATGTATATATATATGTATGTGTATATATATATATATATATATAGAGTTCTCTTTAACACCTATCTTTAAATCAATTCTGATCATCACTACTAAAAATGGAACTCATTCATTAAAATTTCTTTTAAAGGATTATGTGTGTGTGTGTGTGTGTGTGTATATATATATATATTCATTTGCAGTCAAGAAATAGGACAATCATTCATACTCAAAACAAATCAACTTTAATATACTGGAATCACTTCCATGTTTTTGGTTTAAAGGTAATGATTAGTTCTCAGGATTTATATTTATTGTCTAAGAAAAGAAATGCAGCAGAAATATTATGATACTTAAAATCCATATAATGTATCCTCTCTATATGACAGAAAAGATTCCCTTGGAGTTAGTTGACGCGGATAGTGGCAAGGGATCTTAGATAAGGAGGCTAGACTAATGCAATGAACCTAAAAAGTTGGAGTATCTGGTAAATTATGACAGGATGGGAAGACAGAAATTGATAATGAGATAGGGAAAGAAACTATAAGCTTCTTTGAGAAGTGTATATAAATAAATAGAAATGAGTGGATAAGTGAGCTCGTACTTGTGGATCCCATGTGTGGATTAAAAATGAAATGACCGCTATAAACATTAGCTATACTATCAAGAGATTTATTTTTTATTTTTCTTTATTTTTTCCAAAAGGTATTTTATCACCCAATTGAAGTAACATGGTGGAGTTTACAATGAAATTATGAATTAAAATAATAATAATAATAATTCGGTGATGGCAATTATTTTTATCTCCAATGATTCCTTTTCATCTTTAAGTAGAGAAATAATTAAGAATCTGAAATGAAAAATCCAACATCTTGCATTATCTACATAATGTAATATAAACATTACTCATAATTACACTATTCCGGGATTGTTCTAAGTTATGTAAACATTCAATTCCCTTATCTGAGCCTCGCTTAAACAATAGAAGAAAATTAAGGAACATTAGATATTCATTAAACTAATCTAAAAGAAGAATTTCGTATAAAACAGCTGGTGCCATGACCAAAGCATGTCACCTAGTCCTACAGAGAATTTTTCTATTCTTCTTCCAAAGTTATTCCTTCCTCCCCTCATTTTTTTCCTTCTTTTCTTTTCGATAAACCAGAGTTATGAAAGAGAGACTGTAAAAGGCTTGAAGACAAGTAGTCCTCCAAACAGAACAAAATAATACATAAAAAATAAGTTTCTCCCGTTCATCAAAATTACAATAAACAAACTTTATTGTTCAAATAAACAACACACAGACAGAGACAATCTCATAAATGCCAAGCTTTCACAGAGAACCACTAACAATTAAAGAAAAAGAAAGCATATAAATGTATTATTTGTGGAGCACCATTCACACAGGAAGAATAATCATTGTGCAGCTCTTTTAACTCCATCTTTGCAGTCCTTATATCATAACACTTATCTAGGTTAAATACAATAGCTCCTTTTAATATGCATTTTATAGCTTATGATTTACCATATAATTCTTGTATAGGTAAAATCCATTCCATCACTTCGTGGAATGGATTTGACCCATGTGGAATGGGTCATTAAACGTTCAATTCCCTTATCTGGGCATTGCTTAAACAATTGAAGAAAATTTAGGAACATTAGATATTCATTAAACTAATCTAAAAGAAGAATTTCGTGTACAACAGCTGGTGCCATGACCAAAGTATGTCGCCTATTCCTACAGAGAATTTTTCTATTCTTCTTCCGAAGTTCTTCCTTCCTCCCCTCATTTGTTCCTTCTTGTCTTTTCAATAAACCAGAGTTATGAAAGAGAAAGACCATAAAAAACTTGAAGACAAGTAGTCCTCCAAACAGAACAAAATAATACGTAAAAAATAAATTTCTCCTGTTCATCAAAATTACAATAAACAAACTTTATTGTTCAAATAAACAACACAAACACACAGAGAGACAATCTCATAAATGCCAAGCTTTCACAGACAACCACTAACAATTAAAGAAAAAGAATGCATATAAAATGTATTACTTGTGGAGCACCATTCACACAGGAAGAATAATCATTATGCAGCTCTTCTAACTCCATCTTTGCATTCTTTATATCATCACTTCTCTAGGTTAAATAAAATAGCTCCTTTTAATATGAATTTTATAGCTTATAATTTACCATATAATCTTCTATGGGTCAAATCCATTCCATCACTTTGTGGAATGGATTTCACCCATAATATCAGCCTTAATTATTAGGTTGTGTTTGATAGGGTTGAATTGGAATTGAAAATGGAATTGGATTTTCCAACTTTAGGTGTTTGATACATTTTTCTTCTATGGCATTCAAATTCTTGGTTTTTTTGAACTTTGGAGTTCTCTTGGTTTTCCCACGTACTGTAGCGCTTTTTTTTTTTTTTTTTTTAGCCAATAGAAACAAATTTTATCCTTGATTGTAAAAAAAATATTTTTCTTTAATTGACAATTTTCATGTAAAACAAAACCAAATAAATACCAAAATATAAATGATTTTTGATTTTATTTATTTATTTATTTATTTTTTTGGCAATGGAAATAAATTCTATCCCCAATACCAGTAAATTATATCACTTTAATTAACAATTTTCATATAAAACAGAGCCAAACTAACACCAAAAATCATTTTCATTTTAACATTTTTCACGTGGAAAATTATACCAATCAAACTCAATAATTTACAAATCCCAGGACAACAATTCTAGGTAATTCAATTCTCTGAAATTCGTTTTCTAAACAATTCAATTCCATCTTTGCAATCAAACAGAACCTTAATAAAAAGAGACTTACATATTAATAATAAGACGGCACCATAATATTTGTCCTACACCAAGGCCCAAGAGAACTATAACTGTTAATCATTAGATGATGCTTGATATATAATTATTTTGAACTCAACATTTGTTGCAAAATTAAACAACAACAACAACAATAATAATAAAGAAATTAACAAATTCAATACATGTAAAGTAGAATTCAGTGATAAGACAATAGGTTCACATTTGATGTAACAAATAATGAGGAAAAAGGCCAACAAGGTTAGGTTATTGCAACATCAAGGCTCATGAGAACTGTAACAATTATTCTACTACAATTATCAAATGATGCTTGATATGTAACTATTTTGAACTCGACATTTGTTGCAAAATTGGAAAAAAAATAAAAATAAAATAAAATTCACAACTTCAGCATGTATAACATAGAATTCAGTGAAAAGACAATAAGTTCATATTTGATGCAATAAAGGATAAGAAAACATGCCAACAAGCGGAGGTTATGACACGTCTTTGTTAACTAAAGAGGTTATGTCATGTCTTTTGTACTCCACAAGGGCGATGCAATCGTACAGAACAGATTATAAGGAGGACCAAACCAAATTTTATTGTGGTTGTCAAGGATAGTAGTTTGGGTCTTACAGTAGTTATAACAATGAAAAGGCAAAAAAGAATTCATGTAGACAATCAAAATGTATCCAAGTTAAACCTTTGTGGCTTTGTTTCAAGATAGTTGTAAACATTAGCAGTATTAACCTCACCTAGGAAGCACCGACATGGACAACGAGTAAACAACATGCAATTTTTCAAAAAAGTAATAACACGACACGTCCTGACAGGCTGACAAGCTGACTGAAATAATATTACTTTTTTTATAATGTAAAGTGAATTCCTTTTGGTTAATACTGGCATGTTGACAAATGAAACTACAACATGTCAGCAATGTATCTCTTGACGTGTTGGTGACATGTCGAACTGTACATGTCACCGGGCATTCCAACACACGTCTGCAATGTGTCGATATTCGACACCAACTCGGTGGGGGCAGAAAGGTGGAGAGTGTTGGTGCATCCAAGTAAATTGCCCAATAGGAATGTACGATAACGAAAGAATTAGGAATTATCAAAATAAAAGAAGGCAACCTAATGTCAGACAACCTGGAACAGAATTGTTAAGTGTTTGCCAAAAGGCTCTCTCCTCATTCAATCTTTACAAACCCCAAGCACCCAAGGTCTTTTCAAGCTTGTCACTCACCTTTCTATTTGGACTTTAATGACTGTCATAGTCATTGTTTAATTTATCTTCCTCATGACTAACAGTGGTGACATGTAATGGTGGTAGGAACCACAAAGCCAGTCGATGCACAGGAATGGAGTTATTTGACAACATAGAGTGCAGTAAGCAAGATAAGCATTCAACATAGAGTTATTGTTTGTCTTACTCACGACTAACCATGGTGACATGTAATAGTGGTTCATACCACGAAGCCAGCCGATGCACGGGAATGGAGTTATTTGACAACATAGAGTGCACTAAGCAAGATAAGCATTCAATAATAATGGAAAGGAGATGTTACCCAAATATTTTGACCAAGGTGATCAAAGACAAGTGTCCTATCATATTCTATCCTCAGGCCAACATGTATGCATAACACATGGACTCCATGTACCAGATTCCAATTTAACATGAAAAGACTAATTATAGTTCCTTCAAGCAAATGGTGAATCAACAATTACAGAATCAAGCTCATTTAAACTCCTTCAACAACTATCTCCGATCTACCAAGCATTTACAACTAAAAAGGGGCTCTCTTAGCTTAAAATAACCATCAAAAGCAATTTTATATTTCCAGCATGTGCTTGAATATTTAGAAATTCCCAATATTTCTAGAATCCCACTTTCAGTCATAGCCCATAACATCCTATAGCATCATTACCCGCACTGAAAGCGCATATTCTATATGCACAAACTTAGGAATTTCCCCTGCTGGACATACAAGCTAGAAATAACAAAGATCATTCAAGTGAACTACCCAAATAAAAATATAAAATAAAAGAAAAGCTCCCCCTCAAAAAATAAAAATAATAATAATGATGATGATCCAACTTTAACCCAAATGAACATCACAAAATCACAACAAAACAAAACTCAACTTTAAGAACATGGAGAAAAGCAAAAAGTTGAAGGAAAATTTACCACAGATCTTAATGGGTGCCTCAAGCTCAAGAAGATTAGTCTGTTGCAAGAAAATCTCTTTAGACTGCAAACAAAGCTGCTTGATCTCTGACTCCGAGAGCTGCACTTGCTTCCCCGGCTTCTCTTTAACCTCAAGCAAATGATTAATTACATAATCAAGAGCGGCAGAATCCATTTTTTTCTTTCTCTTCCTTTACTATGTTTCTACGAAGAGAAAAGTTATAGTTTTCTTGATGTTGTGTGTCATCGAGAACAAGGGTCGGTCATCTGTGGGTTCTTGGAGTGTTTACGGTTTAGATTTGTGGTGTAGCCCTTTTTTGTGGAAATTTTAGCTATGGTTTAGAAGATGCTTTTGGGGGTTACATTCGTGATTCGTGCTTATGGACGTCCCTGGAAAATAAAGGGATGGACCGGCGGCCGTAATGCAGACGAGTCGTCCCTTTAATATTATAAAGGAAAATTTAAAATTTCATTATTCCCATTATTTTTAAAATATATTTTTCTCTATTTTATTTTTGATCACATATTTTTCATTAAAATATATTATACACAAATTCAAATTTTTTTAACCACATATTTTCCATCAAATGACCATGATAAAATGCATTTTTGATAAATAATGGGAATCATCCAGGTCCTAAATTACATTCCATTACATTCAATTTTTATCTTTTCTATTTTTAACCTCACAATCTTCCAGAAAATAATATTATATGTAAGTCAAAAATTTTTCCTTTTTTTCCTACCATCCATTTTTCTAAAAAAATACTATTCCACTCATTTTCACTTCCAAAAAATGAGGGCCATACGGGAAAAATCTTCCATTATCACTATAAAATATCAAGCCACAATTAAAATATATTTTCAATATGTACATCACAATAAAAACACAATTATACTGCTAATTCAATAAAATCAAAAAATGAGAAAAAATTATAGTATTGTGGTGTATTCATTATACGACAAATTTCGTGTGTTAAAATACATAAATTGTTACAGATTGTATTGTATTTTTTGAGAAATACAAGTGGATATTATTTTCATAGTCCAGGGTGTATTGTTTACACCAATTCACAAATCAGGTACATAACTCAAAAATTCAAAATTTAGGTATATATAATTAATTGAAATTATTTATTAATTAAATATAATAAAGTCACAGTTATACGATTAATGGTCACGAATTCATAATCATATGTCACAAATTTATTTTTTGGTCACATATCATCAAATTAATTGGTCACGAATTATTTTGAAATCACAAATCTAAAATTTTGTAGGCTACGAATTATTTTAAGATCACAGATCCAAAATTTACAGGTCTCAGATTACTTCAAAGTCAAATTAATTGGTAACACTTAAACAGTTTGTCACAAATAACTAAATGATTGGTCACATACGTCAAATAGTGGTCACATAGCAGCACAAAACATTCACCACACAAACACTATCACCATTAGCATACAAAACACCATTTAAACCCCACCCAAACCGCCATATCTATCACCACAAAATCGCTATCACCACCACCACACAAAACACCATCCAAACCCACAAAATCGCCACCAACCCAAACTACTTCTGCTTTGCGTGGGTTGTTACAGTGTTCCAACGATTTCATTTCACCACTAAAGTGGTGGATCTACTTCACGATTTCATTTCACTACCTCAATTCGTGGTGATTCGCGAAGGGAAAAGTGCAATGACGTGGTACTTCTTCATTACAGTAGCACCAGTGAAGGGTACTCCAGCAACGACATGCTACGGTGGCAGAAGTGTCTAATAGAGAGGAGACGTGTGATGGAGTCGGGGAGATGAAGAGGAGTCAGTTACGAGAATGAGATGGAGAGTGAGAGTGAGAGTGAAATGAAGAGAGATGGGAAATGATTAGGGTTTTTAATTGAATTGAGTGGTTTAATTATATATAATACTTGATTTTTGCATAAATAAATTTCACCCCTGAATTTTGAATTTGAAAGTTTTAGTATCTGGTTTTCTGTAATTTCCTCTAAATTTAATTGGACTAATTATTTAGATCAATCCAATCCAATTTATTTAATTTTTTTTATGTCTATAAATGGATTATATATATATATATATATATATATATATATCAAATTATAAAAGTCCTGCTCAGTACTCTTCTTAATTGAAATATCTTTTGATAAGATAATATCCTTTTTTTTTTTACTTTTTTTTGAAATTAAAAAAGTATGTCATCTGAAATATATGAACTTGGGCCTAACTCCATTCTTGCAAGGACACCACTGGCACTCCCTTAGCAATAATTCTTAAAACAGTGATCATTTTCCCATTTCTATCCGTTTCACTAGCCTTTCTAATAGGCCTTTACGCTTTGAAGGGTCACTCAGGGCTTATTTTAAAAACAGTTTAAACTTTAACTTGGAGTTAAGACGTGCTCTTATCATATACTCAGCATGAAACATAAAAACT